AATGATCATGTATGGTGGCAATTTGGTTTTTACGAATTCAGCGAATTTCGCGTCAGATTTTGAAACCAAAGTATCCTGACCTTGACGTATAGGTAAACGTAGCCTTTAACTGCGAAAATAACATCAGAAATGGATTCCTTGAGTCAAACTTGTGTAGAAAAGTGTTATCACACATGATTCTATGTCCATTAGTTAAAAAGTTGTATTTTGACCCCATATTGTAACCTTGACCCCATATGGTCCAGGCATTATTTTAATTTATCAACAATGATAATAATCATTACATATCAACAATCACATACGGGGACTCAAATACACCTTCACAGCAACACATAATTTTTCAGTCAGTTACCGTTTAAGTGAATTAGGCGTAATTTTGAGCCGAAGTGACCTTGACCTGACTTTATAGGTTGATCCTGACCTTTAATCGCGAAAGTAACATCAGAAATGGATTCACTGCGGTCAACCCTATATAGAAAAGAGCTATCACACATGATTCTAGGCCTAATTAGTAAAAAGTTTGTATTTGGCCATGTTAATTATGCAAATTAGCTAATACAAAATGTTCCCGCAAAGTTGGCGTTGCTGCCAACAAAGCTAAAAATTCTTCCAGACATGGATATGAATACATCATCAATAAAAAAACCTTGAACTATTAAAAATTTCTTGGTTCACTTATTGAAAGGATACGGCCCGCAACTAGACTAATAGCGCGCGTTCGATTCGTTAGATGGGGGGGGGGGAGTGCACGCTCTCTCGCTCGCACGCTGGATGGGTGGATGGATGGATAGATCGATGGGTGGATGCATGGATGGATGGATGGATGCATGGATGGATGGACGAATGAATGGACGGATGGATGGATGGGTGGATGGGTAGATGGATGGATGGATGGATGGATAGATGGATGGATGGATGGATGGATGGATGGATGGATGGATGGATGGCATGGATGGATGGATGGATGGATGGATGGATGGATGGATGGATGGATGGATGGATGGAATGGAATGGATGGATGGCATGGATGGATAGGATGGCATGGATGGATGGATAGATGGATGAATGAATGGGTGGATGGTTTAATGGATGGGTGTGTAGATGGCTGGCTGGCTGGCTGGCTGGATAGATGGATCAATATATAAAAGGATGGATGGATGGATAGCGTAAATTTTTAGAATCGATGAATAGACGGCCGGACGTACGGATGAATAGATAGGCAGGTGGATGGTTTGATACATATTGCATGTCGTTACTTCGTATGGTCAATGTGGTTCACGTGTACTAGGTGTGTGGTCATTCGTTCAATCATTTCTATTTGCGGAACGGACACAGGTGGTCGATGTTCACATGAAATTGATGACGATGTCGCCTCAAGCTTAACTTGCTTCCTGTTCCTTCTTCCGTGGAACGCAATTTCCTGTAAGCGTGATCGACCACATGCATCCAATCACACGCAGCTTAAACGAAATATAGAACACATGGTATTTATGCGTAAATGTAGGCTGCTTGTCTTTATAACTCCTGCTAATATGTAATCACCGTTTCTTGAATGGAATCGACCGTTTCTTCTAGCTAGGTATATGTGCTGCAAGAGCGGTGCCTTGCTTGACACATCATTTTAATAAAGGATATATGAGGGAAACTGACATGTAGCAACAGATCCATGTATTTGAAATTAACTCGCACACACGCATGCAGAAGCACACGTATGAACGCACTCTCACACACTTTCGCACACGCACGTACGAGTCACGACACACATACGGACACGCACACACACACACACACACACACACACACACACAACGCCCACCCACACACTCCCACACACACACACGCCCACCCACACACACACACACACACACACACACACACACACACACACACACACACACACACGCGCGCGCGCGCACGTAATCTACGTTCATAACATTAATAGGAAACGTCTTTTATACTGCTATAACAGAGTTAATGTTGTAAATTTTCGGCAAATATATTTTAGTGCGATCTCGCGATTGGATGTGAGAGTCTTTAGAGCGTAGAAGATGTATGAAAGAAACTGTATGTTGAGGCTTACCAGGTAAGTATAACGATCAGAGTAACGATCATAATTATGTCTCGATCAAATAGCGCGCGTATACGTAGGCTTACGTTAGATATAATTGATTTGGACACAGAATATTCTGTGTTTTAACGTTTATATGTATATACTCGAATTAAATTATTATATATTATTATTATTATTAATTTATCAGTTCATATCAGAGACATGTCATGGTACTATCAGGAGCATATAAATGGAATTTTTCATTTATAAACTCCTGGTACTACTATGTGTCCGGGCACACCGACAACATTAAAAAAGAACAAAACAACACAAATTTAAGCAGTGATCTGTTTTTATTAACAATTAATAGCAATTATATAACAGATGTAAAAGATAACAAATGCAACACTGCGAACGACCTTAATAAGTGTAAATACGACTTAACACACAAATGTTTCGCAAATCTTGAGAATCGTAGGTATATCAGCCAATGTGAGTGTAGAAAGAAAATCGTTTCTTTACACGCTGATCCTAAACTATTTACATGAAAATATGTTCCTTTATGCCTATAACATCCTATAATGTAATATAATCCATGCGATTATATTCGAGCTGGTCCAACATCATCTTCTAACAACGGTTCTAATAATGACTGATTCTGCCCTTACTACTTCCAAAACTGTTCTTAACCCCGCCTTTACCACCACCGTAATTTCCATGCATACCTTTGCCGAATAGACCTATGCTCGTGAAGTCAAAGCCGTCGACACTGAATCTAGCGAAGGTTGCACCTTTCGACTTGCCATCCGCAGGACTCACGACGCGATTTCCGCCGTAGCCGCCATAGCCTCCCCCATTGTAGTACTGCTTTTTGGGTGGCCAGTAGATCGGGCCAAAGTCGAAGACAAGACCGTGATCTACTCCGAATTTCTCCTTGTAGGCGTGATCAACTCCTCCACCATAGCCGGTGTCGTATAGACCTGTGCTGTGATCATCGTGTATCCCTCCACCGTAGCCACTTCCGCTTATGTGAGAAAATTCTGATGGATCTAATCCGTAGCTATTTCTTCCGTTATTTCCTCCGTGTCTTCCGTTATCGCCGCCGTATCCTCCGTTGTTTCCTCCGTTGCCGCCGTACCCTCCGTTACTTCCTCCATTGTTGCCGTGCCCTCCGTTACTTCCTCCGTTGTCGCCGTACCCTCCGTTACTGCCTCCGTTGTCGCCGTACCCTCCGTTACTTCCTCCGTTGTTGCCGTGCCCTCCGTTACTTCCTCCGTTGTCGCCGTACCCTCCGTTACTTCCTCCGTTGTCGCCGTATCCTCCGTTACTTCCGCACATGCAAAGCGATACCTGTTGGCCATAGAAAATAGTGAGCGTGCGTAAGTGATTAATTGTCTACAGTCAAAGCATTATATGACTAAAACCACATTATGTACCATTAAAATTGTACTACTTTTGAATAATGAAAATTTGCTTAGTTTAAAAGTTGCTTCCTTTAAAAGTTGTAATCTTCCGGAACTCACGAACAAAATCACGAAGTATATATTTCAACTTGGGACTTCTAATAACAACATACGCCTATCGTTGTTGCAAAATAATTTTAAAAATTACAAAGCTACAAAAACATATAGAAAGATCTATTTTCGTGCGCGCGCACATACGTGACACAAGGACAAGATACAATTCATCATCTTACCGTAAGACACAACGTCACTGAAGCTAAAAGAAGCCTCATCGTGTCTTCCTGGGTGCTGTTTTTCTATACGATGAAACCTGTGAAATAATATTACAATATATAGGGCTTATATGCTAGCAAAAGTAGGCCTATCGAGTTAGCTATTATTGTTTTCACAATGAATTTGAGGTATTTACTCACTGTTTACTCATAGAAGTAATATCCGTTTTCGTTAAAATTACTTTTTAGTAAATCTTGCAAGCTAAACAATGTTAGTGAATACTAGGGTGTATCAGTGCGACAAAACCACCCTAACAATACCTTTGCTTATGTAGCACGTAGAACTTATTTTATTACATTATTATTGTGGTACAATTGCTATAGAATAAAAAAAAGTATGAATCGATAACGTTAAAATGTATATACGCAAAACGCGTAAACGGTTCTTACCTTAAACCTTGTTACAATTCTATGACTATGGAATTGTAACGCGCTGTCCAACAGGCGTCTACACAAGAAATGCTCAACCATGGCATTACTGCTCTTTTATAGAACTGGTCGCCTGTAGAATTACATGTCACACGCTACAGTTACGGGACACGCCACGTGGCCTGGATATGACAGCATTAGCCCAAATACCACGACGCCGTTTTTACTAGTCTAGTAATTTGAAAGGGAGTTTGAATAATATGCCGGTCACTTGCATGTCACAACCTCGAGGCATACCTCGAGAAACTATTGTCAACGTTCGTTTCGAAATGTCTCTGCGCGTACATTAAGCGTGCCCAGTTGTCATCTGGTTGCACGCATATATTGCTTAAACAAGAAATGCTGCTGTAGTTCGAAGCTAATATTAATATTGGTTTTAGTTATTAACATTGTCAGTTTAGGAAATATAAAAAGCTTAATAACGATCCTTTTAAATGAGTATATATATAATAAAATAATAATAATAATAATAATAATTTATATATATATATATATCTGTGTGTGCGCGCGCGTGCGTGCGTGCGTGCGTGCGTGCGCGCGTGCGTGTGTGGTCATTGAAAGTTAAGATGCTAGCTCTTATACAGCGAATCAACTTAAATTGTTGGCTATAGAAAAAAATCGTGAAGGTACAATATTATATTGAAACATTGTCTAACGTACAAAAGGACTATCATAAAAGTGATATGAATTCGAATGCGTAGGCTATATATATATAATGTTACAATTGTTAATTGAACAAAAAATAAAAGTTATTTTAAAAATATAACTCTACTGTAAACTAAACAAATGAAAAACAAAACAAAGCTATTTGCTGTTATAAAACAGTTCACCCAACTTGGGCCGACACAATTCACGAGAAATTATTGCTCATGCGTACTGCACCATCCAATACAAGCCCCCAAACATGTAAATTCGCAAGTAGTTTTCTTTACACTCACTCGCGACCTGTCGCACGAAATACGCCACTAATGCCCTACTGACCAAAAATACGCGGTGACCAACATATATTTACATAAATGGAAATAGAAAAGAAAGTTCGCGCAGACATGATAATGTGTTCTGAAGGCGTGTGTTCACGGTCTAACAAGCAGTTGCATCATACATGAGTTGAAAAGAAAGTTCAGAAATCATGTTGTGTACTAGTATAACTATGCAAGTGTTGTTTTTATATACCTAGCATTATTTTGATTTAAATGAAGTAAATATAACTTAGAAAACACACATACTTACACATACAAGCACACACCCGCGCGCACACACATCCCCGCGTGCAAACACAGGCACGCACGCCCGCGCACACACAGGCACGCACGCCTGCGCACACACAGGCACGCACACCTGCGCACACACGCACACGCACCACACACAAACGCGCGGACACTGCACGTTTAAACTACGTCCTAATAAATACAGATACGGATTTAATCCTTTATTTACAGTCGATACTGCACTTAGTACTACACATACATTCTGCTATGTTTGTATGTATAGTATCCAGTGGCGCCCGCAGATAGAAGCACTGGAAGCACAGTGCTTCCAGTAAATTTTGGGTTAAACAATTTTGTTCCTAAATCTCTCTCGCAAGACTCACCAGATTGCACCTCCTGATGTCTACCATTCAAAAAATTTCAGGGGGTGTGCCCCCAGACCCCCTTAGCATGCAGCGCGCCTACGGCGCTGGATTTTTATTATCACTGAGGATTTTATCCTTCTGTGCTTCTACTTTCTTAAGATCTGTGGGCGCCAGTGATAGTATCTATAATGTTTATATGCATAGCATGCTCTTGATATATAATAAAGTTATATTGTGTATAACATATATATATATATATAACTTTCTATTAGTATTTACATAATTTATTCGGATTTCCAGGTGATTTATATCAATAAACACCATAATTTATGGGTTGAAAACCGTAATAAAGCTAGTGTCTGGTCAGGCTAATGTTGAGAGTGCATGTATTCAGGAGCACATCAACTAACAGAGCAGTTACAAAGCACTAACATAGTTTATGTGCTCTTTGTGAAATCAATGCATAATACAGACGCCGCTATTGCTGGTACTTCAATCGTTGCATTTGACATGTTTGTGATTTTCACACGTAACTGTTAAATTGGGGGTTTTCAAAGTTAACACAAATACGGCCTTTACTGGCTATATCTCACTACGATATCGTGAATAAATCAACGTTTAACTTTCTTTCCTAAAAGCCTAGAAGGGGTCACTAGTTCTCGCACTACTTTTCGTTCTGCGATGGTATTTCGCTAAAGTCAGTATTTTATTTTTACGAAAGTCACAGATATAATTATATTTATATCCCACACACACGCGCACGCACGAACGCACGCACACGCACGCGCGCGCGCGCGCACGCACGCACGCACGCACGCACACACACACACACACACACACACACATGTATATATATATATATATATATATATATATATATTCGTCATACAACTCAACGTACATCGTACGTCACTTACGAAGACGTGATTATAACGACCAACGATCTCGTAGTGGGCAATCATCGTCGTGACATACGTGACACAGATAGGGTTCAACGGCATAAAGACACCGCTATACTGCGTATGGCAAATTCATTGTGGTTTATTGCACACCAATCACACGTAAACTCGCGCACCTGTGCGCCCACGCGACATCAACGAGAAATAACAAAATCAACAAAAGCAAAACGCCATTATTCTTCGCATATGCTAAAATTTTCCCGTCGCAATGTATACACGCCTATTCATATATTCGTAGGCAGAGAGCACTCTTATTACATGGAGTATTTCGGCAAACTTATAATTCGTTGATAGAATTATTTTCTATAAACTTCTTTTGTCAGTCCATATTGCACAATGTGAACTAAACACTAAATGCAGCAATACGTTTCGACACAAAGAATGCGGCATTCAGTATATACTCGTTCACCTCAAATAACATAGTGGGGCCTAACCGGCTGAATGATAAAAATTCTGTAATATAGTAGTATGAGAAACACATTGCTAGAGTAAACCTGCTTCAGACACTGAAACACAGACACGCAATGTCTACGAACTATGTCTTAATATATATATATATATATATATTCCAAAACAATTCAAATGATTAGAAAGAATGTAATTTGTCAATATTCTTTGTGATATTGCAACTGATACTGGGTATGTCCAAGATTTTTCTATAAGTGCATAATAGAATTCCAAATGCATGTAAGAAAAAATACTCACAAAAACCAAAAGACAGTTGAGCACCTATATACTAGATATAACGAAATATAAATTCACGTATTTATTCTGGATATATCTCTGTTTCCTATTTAGGATATGACTACACTGTAATATCACAAACCTACGTATACATAGCATCAGGAATAAATTATATATATATATATATATATATAATATATATACATAATATATGCATAGTTTTGTGATAATACTGCCACAGTTAGCTTTTTAAGCTGAATGCATGTACTTCATCATCAAAACAGGATCAGTTTCTGGTAACATATACAATGACAAAAATGAACAAGGGGAAGAAAATATCATATTTACACATTTCCCCTAATGTTTCAGTTTATAAACCACAATGAAATGCAGTATTGTATATAATGTGATAACCACACAAAATAAACAAATTTAAGCTATGAAATAGATTAAAAACATAATCAAATGTTTCTCAAGAGTAAGTAACCCTCAAGCTCAACCCTCTGCCGCCAACCTAAAAAAGGCCCACAAGATAGCTCAAACAAAATGCTGTATGTATTCAGAGGGGCAACATAGATTTTGAAAATGTGCACATCTACATTTTTAGGCTCACTGACATTACAAATTTAACATTGTGATCACTACCGTTAGAGATAACTTTCACTATTTCACTCGATCTTAGTAGACTGACCGCTGTTGATTATAAATTATTTATTCACCAAAATACTTCTTACTGAATATGTAGACTGCAAACAGTGAATTACTAATTTACATTTACGATAACACATTTCAAGCAATTGCGATGAAAAGACCAGGTGCAAATTGATGTAGCACACTGTGGTGTTAACAGGTACAGACCAAACCGACCTATTCCAGAAAATAATAGGCATATATGCAGCTATTCTTTCCATATATTATTGATCGAAAACCAGTTAAGTGTATTTTAACCATAAACACCATAATTTACCACAATTCTATTGATAAACTGGCGTTCAAGATTATCTCAAAAGAACTTTACTCCTTCTGAATCACCTAGGGAGAACACTTCGGCCTTTTTCTGTCTCTCCAGTGCACGCAAAACGCGAAGAAGAATGTTGGTGTCCAGCCCATGAAAATCTGGTAAAAATGTGAAAATAGTTTGTTCCATTGAATATTATTAACAAACATTGATCTACAGACTAGGAAAATCAATACTGTTACACTTTTAAGCCATGCAATCATCTGTATCAATAGCGCAGTAATAAATTACACAACATAAGAACCACTGCTGATCTAGTTGGATATCATCAATTTGACATAAAGGATTACTATCAAAGACCACTATCAACAACACACCCAATAAGAGAATGCATGTTATCCTTATACACTGTTGTTACCAGCTCTAGGGATAGCAAAACGTTTTAGAAAATACCTCAATGCTTCCTGCACATATAATTACCAGTGGTGTCACTTGTAATATTACAATAGTGCTGTCAAACTACATTGTCTAGTCAGCATGGTGATGTTCTCATGAGGCTTGGTTATGCACTATTATCAATTGTGTACATGAAGATAGTGATTTCCCTGTTGGGTCCTTGTAATTATATAGACACGACAAAAAAGAACACACTGAGCACAGAGTTGGAATGAGAATGTTTTAGTTACCTTCTCCTGCTGTGTCTTCTCCATTGGTGATTTCGTATAGTGTGCACACAGTATTCTGTTTACCATTGTCTGCGGCCTAAGCAATCAACAACAAACTAGTAAGCACCCTTCGCAAAGTTAGGAATAAAGCATTTGCAAAGTGATGCAGGAAAGGTTTTGTAAGAAAATTATGGAACAAGTATCTCATAATTTTTCTCATTATATATAAACAAAATAGTATCATTATTTATTTGCCGAAGGTTGTGTAGTAAGACCTTAGGTCACTCACATTGCGTTCACATGTACCTCAAAACCCAGTTTCGAACGCGTATCGTATGTACTCCGTACGAAACGTAAATAGCGTGGCCTTGAGTTAAATACAGCATTCACACGTATAATTTGGACTAAATGTATTGCCGTATAAGCTCGACAAGTCACGAAGTGAACTTATATTTCATAATCTGTGCATGTTGCTCCGCCCAGTTATACCAGTATAGCTACAGCCGGTTGTTCACATGTCCGCTATACGCGTACAAAACGCGTATAGCTATACGAAGTACATACGAAACGAACCTTTTTAGTCAGTATAGCTATACGCGTTTCAAACTGAGTATAGCTATACGTGGTCGTTCACACGAGGGAAATTTGTCCCGAGTACATACGAAACTGGGTTTTAGCTACGTGTGAACACGACATCAGTTACATAGCCTATACACACACATTCTATATATTCATGCTAAAGATACAAATATAATATTTGGCAGCAATAATTCAAATAGCTGATCATACGACATAAATATCATATGAACCTTGGAGTAATCATTCTGACTGTCAGTCTGACTGTCAGACTGTCTGTCAGCCAGACTGACAGTCAGTCAGACACTTCTGACAGTCAGACTGTCAGTGTGAATGATTACTCCAAGCATGAACATAATTAGGTAAATCAATTTAATGAAAAACATTTCGTGTTATATATTACTGCTGCATACAAACTTACCCATCCATATAGTATTGTACCCCATTCTTCAATTGTTCTCCATAGAATATAGCATCGTGTTTGAGTTTTGTCCAACCATTCAACATTCCCTATAATACATAACATTAAAAAATAATTTATCCCGTTTCTTGCATGCTATCCATGTACATTCTCGATCATGAGTGATTACTCGCACCCAAAATTGAAACAAAAGATTTCACAGAGCCCAGAATGGTAATGTTTAAATATTTGTTCAATATATAATACTGTTCTATGCACCAAATGCTTTGCCATATGGCAATAAATATTAGCTAGCTAAATCTGTTTTACTAGCCATGGTGTGTCCGATGCGCACATACCATGTAGGATTGAATATAAGGGAAGGAGCAACTCAGGTCACCAACATTTTTTTAAACCTAGCAAAGGTTTAGATAAAAAGACTATAAAAGTACCATTAGCCAAAAATAGTACATTCACTTCTGCTATGGTATCATCTTGCAATAGGCACACACCATGTAGTGCAAGCCTTTACATCTCCAAAAGAGTGCTTGGGAAAAACTACCCAGGGCCATAGCCTGTGGGGAGCAAGGGGGCAGATTTTGGAGCAAAATAAAAAAAAAGCTTAGCTAATAATCGTAAATAACCATAACTTGATTTTTTGGTCACTTAGCCGTAAAAGCCTTGCCTCAGACCCACCACTACCACACTATGGACGTCGATCAAGAGCTGCACCCGTTGCTCATCATTAGCCAGTTGAGTCATGAAATTATGCCCCCTCCCCAGGAATTTGCTCAGCCTACGGCCCTGTTAGCAATGCATGACACTTACTATTATTATTGATTATTATGATTGTTATTATTATTGATTATTGATTATTATTACTATTAAATTCAAATATACATGCTTATTTACATGCATATTTACAACTTTGCACCTTTCTTTTGCAGCTCCTCTAATAAGTATTGTACATCATCCAAACGTAATTTCCCTATGAAACAAATGTCAAGAAATATAACAATATCACTGTCTTCACATTCTAAAATCAGCCAAACATGTGAAGACCCAGCTGCCCAAGTATTATTGATACAGTATAGGTAAGATACAATATATATAATTATATATGAAAAAGATACGATTTATCTCTTTGTTGCAGAAGAGTGGTGAATTCTGTGATTCCACCACATCTAAGATGTACTGCCTTTCATGCCTGTGATATGCTAATATGAGAGAACACCATGCTTCAACTTGTTTTTTTCTCGTGTCTAAATTCGGCTGCAATCTGTGGAATTAAGAAACATCAATTAACTTAGATACAATTTAAATTGAAACAATTTTACACTAATACATTCATATTTATTTAAATTCATTAACACTCTAGGATAGACTATAACACTGTAAATATTTAAGCATAAATGTTTTTAGTATTTTGTCTAAAATTGGTTATAGGTTTCCATGATCTAAGATATTACCACTTATCTCATGATATGATATCAGGAGTGTGTATTATACACTCCTGATGATATGTGTTAGCTCTACCTATTCCTGTTGGCAGTAACCTAGTGGCACAAGTAGCACTAGGAAGAAAATGGCAGGTAGGTTGTGGTTGTTTGACTCCATTCCTGTTTCCATATACATACATTTATAAATTAATTTTGTGTGCAAAGATGGTCCCGGCAGCAAATAGAACTCAAATGAAGCATATATCTATATATACATGGTTCTCACTAAGAATTTCTTAGAGCATGATGCATAATTACAAGAGCTATTATTAGATTAGATAATGTACGCACACAAGCACACGTGCATGCACGTACGCATGCAGGCACACACACACATGCGCACACACATGCTCCTACCCACTCACTACACACGCATGTGCACACATTCACGTATATGCACATGTATACACAGTTGACTTTTAAAATATCCCACATTATCTAGTATAAATACTTTTCACCCCTATTTGCACTATTCAGCCTAGCGTCATAATACATACATATTTACATTGACCTTACTTTTTATTTTTATAGTAAGTTAAGTCTAACAAATTATAATAAAAATTATTACCTTGCATATTTTAAATGTATCTAATTACTCAATAATGTCAAAATGATGCATATTTAGCTAATATTAGTTGGAACTAATACTGTTCATGTATGAACCTTTGGAACATGGAAACCAATGAATACAAACCCAGGGCTCGAAATCAACTTTGCTGTCAGGCAGCAAGTACTTGCTGTCAGAGAAAAAAGCACACAGCAAACTTACTCCCCAAGGTAGAAATTTTAGGAAACCATAGCAGTTTCATTGCATCCCACCCCAACAGTACTGTCTCATTGCTTCCATCTATAAGGAGGCTGATTAGGACACCTAGCCCCGTTTCCCCCGATTTGTTAATTCTGAATATAGTCACATATGGTTACTCCAAGTCCACACGGTCCACTGTACTAGACTAGAGTGGTAACATCACAATGAATATAATTAGTGATTGTAGACCTTATAGATAGTACTTAGTACTACTACAGTACACAATCTATTATCCAAAACCCTTGGGACCAGACACTTTTCAGAATTCGGAATATTTCGGATTTCGGAATGGTAGTACAGTACAGATATACATACTGTATATCTGGCAACTAGCCAGTAGCAGTACTAAACCAAAGTTTTCAAGAAGTCAAGTGTTGTACCGGTCAGGGCGTAGGCGGATTTTCAAAGTTGTAGGCACGACTATCTGAGCGAGCGCCACCATCGTTGGCGCGGAGTGCGGGCAAGAAAATTTTTGGTTTTACAAACCCCCCAGATGGCCGGAAACGACCTTCCCGAGTGTTCATCCTGGTTCCTTGGCCTCTTGCTACTTGAGACACTCATTCAATATCACTTTTAACTCAAAAACAAACGAGTTAAAATAGTGTTACGAACGAGTCAAAATGTCTAACACAACTGACCAGATCGAATCCTAGTCTTTTTCGGGCGGGTAGTGTTGAATGAAACGCGGCACCGCGATAGAATATGAACAGCCTAGATGACAGAAGAATAGGTCACCTAATTTAGCCTATTCTTGCTACGTTCATTTCAATAGTTTTTCCTGTCTACGACTCTTAAACTCGTCCAGCAAGCTTATGGATTTGAATATAAGGTGTTTTTAAAAAAAAGGATAACTTGCCAAAACAAGTGTAGGCGCCGGCCTACAGTGCTCCACATACTGCTACGCGCACTGCTGGTACAGTACATATGTCATAGTAATGCAACACATTAATTTTCTGCAGTGAATCTTCTGGCAGCCAAACCTACGAGCTTTGTGTGCGGAGGCCGACCTCATGGAAAAACTTCGGTTTTCGGAGCTTTTCGGTTTCCACAATTTCGGATAATTAGATTGTGTACTGTATAGTAGCAGGTCTATATTATCTTACTCCTGTAGTAGTAGTACACTACCACGAGACCCACACAGGAGGGCTATTTCAGTGAAAGAGCTATGTTCGACTTCATTTCTATAGCTCATCTCAGATGGCACGTTGTTACATTATTGTACCCCCGAGGGGGGGGCACTCCCTATATATTGCATGGTAGTATGTGCCGCGATTACCCCCCTTTTTTCACTTCAAAATTCCGCACAGCGACCCCCTTTTCACATATTTTCCCGTCCCGGAGCATAGGTCCTACTTTTTTCCGTACCAGAGACCCCCCTTTTTTCACATATTTCCCGTCCCGGATTATAGGTCCCTACGTTTTTATGCACCAGAGACCCCCCTTTTCACATATTTCCCGTCCCGGAGCATAAGTCCTACTTTTTCCCGCACGTTCCGGAGACCCCTCTTTTTCACATATTACCCTAGCTCTAGTACTATAGCCCGCGTTCGATAAACTGCCGCAGCCTGTGGCAGTTTATCGAACGCGGCTATAGTACTAGAGCTAATATTACCCATATCTGTGCATATGTCCTAGCTACTTTGTTCCGCACGTTCCGGAGACCCCCTCTCGCAAACAATTGAAACATGTCCAGCTCCGGAGCATCATGCTTTCCAGCAAACCCTCTTTCCGGAGACTCCCAGTGCTATTTTGATTCGCCGAGTTAGTACCGGAGCCCCCCAGTTCCATCTCTCAACTCAAGTGGCACATACCTACCCTATTTTGTATGGAGTACCACCCCCCGGGATTGTACCTAGTTTAACTTAAGTTAGGCTAGTACTTGTATATATTAGTAGTAGTATTACAGTATTATATTGTAACTAACACAGCTGGCCCAAGGATAGAGAACATGGTCCAATAAAACCAATGTGCTAACCCTAACCCTAACCGCTAATTCTAACCCGTAACCCTAAGACTAACCCATACCATAACCATAACCCTAACCTATTATATTGATATATATTATATTTTATATTGATTGTAAAGACATGTTTTATTGGACCCATGTTCTCTATCCTTGAAGTTGAACCACAACAGGCTTTATGTCCTGTACTGTGTACAGTGTACTGACTACTGTGTACAGTACTACCGCAGTACCGGTACCGCTGAAAATAAAGATTACATCATATATCATTAAATATAATTAGCATTAATTAATAAGGCCGAATGAAAAAATAACTGCTACTGCTGCTGCTTTTTCCTGTAATCAAATACATGTGAACGTACGTGAAAAATGGCTGAAAACTGTATTGCCAAGGAAACTCAAAATTACCAACGGGCGCAGCCATATTATAATACAAGCTGAGCGGTGGAAGCGCCACCGCTACGGCGTCATATTCCTACCTCAGATGACCCGAGGTCAGTGACTGCTAAACAGCCGACACCGGCGCGACTTTTCCGCAAATGCAGACGTTATAACTCCGCTTTGCTAACCTGAGGGTGCGGGTTTAATCCATTACTGGGGTCTGCGTCGGCTCGGACTACGTCGCGACCAGCCGATTCCGGGGGGGGGGGCACTCACCCCCACATTATGGTAGGTAATATGTGCCACTGCGAAGTCAAAATGTGTGGCTCTGGAACTAACTCGGACCTGAAAATGGCGGTCTCTGGAACGAATGTTTGTTGAATGTGGGATGCTCTGGAACTGGCTATGTTCGAAAATGGAGGTCTCCGGAACTATAGGATTTCGTTGAAATGCAATGCTATGGAATTGAAATGTTAAAAACTAGGGTCTCTGGAACGGCAAAAATGCAAGATCTGCATGGTAACTAAACTTGTAATGCTCTGGAACGGGATATTCTTAAAAAATGCGATCCACGTGGAACGGAAGTTTAGGGTTAAAAATGGGGGTCTTTCCGCGGCACATACCTACATGCAATATATATGGAGTGCCCCCCCCGCGGCCGATTCGAGACGCCTGTGGAAGGGGGTACGGGGGCGGGAGTACGGAGAAGGGGGACGGGATGAGGAGAGGATGGGACGGGAGAAGAGGGGGCGGGAGCGGGAGGGGAAGGAGTGGGAGTAGGGATGCCAGTGGGCGAGAGGATTGAGAAAAAGAGCGAGAAAGAGAGAGAGAGAGAGACTGCAGGTGCCGTACGCAGCGGGGTGGGCAGCAGGGCAGTTGGCCCCTAGAGATTTTCATAGTATGCCTTTTAATGGACAATGGCAATAGAGGGCGTGGGGATACCTGGGCCCCCCTACAGAAAATTTCCTGCGTATTTGCCCCCTACAGAAAATTTCCTGCTACGCCCTTGAGAGAAAGAGAAGAGTATACGTAAGCTAGAGAAAAATAAATAAACCATAGCACGTAGAAATAAATACATGAGAAAATACCTTGTCATTGATAATATAACAATTTTATCAACGCAAACTGGCGTGCATACACGCACGATTGTCACGTCCTATGGTCACGTTAAATAGCAACGCGGCCCAGTAGATGCGTCTATGAATCGACTACTACGGCAGCTTTTTGTTGGTTAGGGTTAGGGTTTAAGGGTATACGGGTATAGGTATTAGGTTAGGTTAGGGTTTAGGGTTTTATTTTTTAAGTGCTCTATTGGTTAGTCATATCATATCGCATCTAACTGCCGGGCCGTTAAATATGACATCCTCGCGCCATCTAATCGCCGTAGAAATAATTAATTATGTGCGCCACACTTGTATGTTATGTGTAACCGTACAATGCATGTATTAAGATATCATAACATACTCTAAACGTACTTCTAACGTCGAGTGGACATTAATATAATTACAGTAAGCATACATAACAACATTTACTGGATAAGATTGGTACAGGTTTGGCCGCGAAATTCCATTCCTACACTTCGATATATATATACCTATATATATTTATTCATTTATTTATTTATATATAGACGCAGGCACGCGCATACATATACTTATATCGTAGACAAATGTATTATCAGAAGTAAATAATAGGGAAACTACTTACCTTGGTTGTGTGTACACATTGACTGATAGTCCACCCTGATTCAAAGTCCACTCTGCCTCAAGGGATTGTTGTATCTTTACTGCATTTCCAGCTTGACTGTACGTTTATATATTATTGGCTTTATGTTCACGTTGGTTGTAAGTTTACCGCTACTTCGTTTTACGCCTAGCGTAGACGTTTGTTCATCCTGGTTGTATGTCCATTCGTAACACGGCAAGAGCTTCTTATCAAGCGATGATATTGCTAAGCAGACGCCAAGCGCCTTAGTAATACAGTGTCCTCCAGACAAACAGGACAGTGTCAATTCCAAAGAAGAGCAACAGCCAAGGCCATTTACGCGTCTCGTCGTCACCTCGACGTGGTGCAATAAACAAGCAAATATCTAGACGCGCAAATAATATATCTATATCCGTTTTATACAGCCCTATGCAGTTTCTTCAGACACGTGCATCGTGTTTATGTGGTGTGTTGTGTGGTGTGTGTGGTGTGTGTTGTGTGTGTTGGTGTGTGGTGTGTGGTGCGTGTGGTGTGCGCGCGTGTTGGTGTGTGTGTTGTGTGTTTGCGCGCGCGTGCGTGCGTGCGTGCGGCGTTGTTGTTGTTCAGGCCGGACTGGGGAATCATTCAGCCGGGAGATATGGAGTAAGATATAGCTCCAGTCAGACACCTTTTAAGCGGGGGATCTGGGGGCATGGCGGTTCAGGATTTCTGGAGGGGTGAAAACAGGCGGGGTATGGGGCCCCCACCAGAAAAATTTGAAAATGTAGACAGCCAGGAGATGGTGTTTGAGGCACTTTGTGATACATGTAAGCCTTCCATTCTGACTACGACAATGATCTTTTTAAGTAGCAATCGATTCTTTGATGCTTGCAGCGCGGCATTGCTTATGTAACGGGGGGGCGGGCATTATGTTAACTACCTATGTAGAGGAGTGAACCAGCCGCTGGGAGAGGCGACAGCCAAAACCTCTTTCTTGAAATGTGTAAAAAGCCTGCAAAGGGTTCGTAAGCCTGGCTTTAACGCTCAAATACTAACTTTAAACGCCATCATCAGTGCCGTTGTACAGCCGCGTGACTATTATACTGGCAATAATATTGGTATATGTGTAAAAATATTGTTAGTCCAACAGAGGGGGGTGGCTAGCCACCAAATCCACCCCTGGATCCGCCAATGTGGGGGTCCCGAGACTCCCCCTCCAGGAAAACTTTTGGTCAGCAAAGATTTCATTCCATGCATTCCCTGTGTGAATTTTAGTGGCAATGCTGAATCACAAACGAATGGCCAACAACTGCTTAGTACAATGTACTGTTATGAACCTCAAATAAAACAAAAGTACCTATCATTAATGACGGCGAGACGACACAAGATAACATTAACACCAATATTTATTAAATAATAAATAACTAATGTAATAATCATTTGGATGTAGGCCTACGTACGAAAAAAAGGCTTTTAAGCCGCAGATTTTTTTTTCAACATTTTTTTTGGACAGGCCACTTAGTAGCCAGGCACCGGAAACTCCCGTGCGCTCCGATGGGCCAGTCCGCGCCTGTGTGTGTGTGTGTGTGCTGTGTGTGTGTGTGTGTGTGTGCGTGGCGTGCGTGCGTGCGTAGCGTGCTCGTCGCGTGCGTGTGTTGGTGTTGGTGTGCGTTGCGTGCGTGCGTGCGTCTGCGCGCCGCGCGCAGCGCGTCGTGTGTGTTGTGTGTGTGTGATGTGTGTGTGTGTGGTGTGTGTGCTGTGCTGTGTGCTGTCAAATAACATCTAAGCCAGGTCTAACGTTCTAACAGATAAATAGGTTTAATTATATGACAACCCGGCCCCCACACTCAGTTTTACTCTAGGGTACCATATCTCGTTTCCCGGTCCTTTGAAAGCACCCTATCTCAGGACTGGCTAAAATTCTGAACCCCCCTTTCGTCGCGGCTTTTTGCGCGGGTTTTTTCCTGGGCCTTGGAGGACCCCCTAAATCGGAAGCACGCTCAACTGCTTACCCCCTATCTCAGGTACCCCTCTCATGTCCAAGCAGTCAGTGACGTTAGCTGTAGCGTGTCGAACGGTCAACCAGTCTACACTACGTAGTGTTTAGAGTTCAGGATCGAGGGGAACTAGGGGCCAATATTTTTACATTTAGAAAATGTAAATAATCGCTGATGCTTTCAAAAACTAGCAAGAATTTCAGGAAATCTTTATCCGGGATTGATAAAGGTGTTCTATGAATTCAAGATGAAAGAGAGAGAGGAAAACACCCTGCTTTTTTAAAGAAATCTCCGGGTGAAAAGTCAAATACACCCCGCTTTTTTACAATTCCTTGCGGCCCGGATTTTTGTCGCCGGCGAAAAATACCCTTTACCGGAGATTTTGGAACGCGCATGCGCCGTCCGTCCACCTCGGAGTGGGGGCCGGGGTATGACAACAGACACGTGACGCTGGACACGCATGTCAGATCCTACGGTTTACGTCTTACATGCGAAGGTGCATGGCTGTATAATTATATAACACACTTCAACAGCGCCTGCCGAGCATTTCAACAGTTAATTCTGACTAATTCATCTATAAGCAGTACCGCTTTTTTACATACGTAACATAACCGCTTTTTAGATACTGTAGCGAATTTTGTGTCAATAGATGGCGCACGCGACTGTTGCGCTGCACACGCGTTAGCGTATGCTAGCCTCAAGCCTCGCTAGCCTGCGGTTCCAAAGGGGCGTGGCCTGTCACACTCATTGTGGTCCGCCACGCGTATATGGTAGAGACAAGCGTGTTTAAGAACGTCCTCTCTCGTATCGGTAGCCTCCTTGCAGGCCAGCGGTGATGCTAGCGACGTGTTTGTGTTTGTGATGGGTTAGCCTCATAATTTCTACGATGGCGTTCGCCAGCCGTCAATGTTGTCTGCGCATCCGCTGTCTGTGGGTAGCGGCGCGACCGTCATAGCGGAGGATGGGTGGGAAGCAGCCGTGTTCCCGGGCGAGCGCGTCGCCAGTACTCTTAGGCAATAATATCGGACCCCGGTCCATTCGCATCTACGCAACATCTATCTCGACGCCCGTATTCTCTCATCGCCGTGCCACTACCCCTGCGAGCGCTGGTTAGGGGACGCTGAACACGCCCGCAGTCGTATAGAGGAAACCGAATTCGTCACAGTGGTGCCGTGACCAGGATATTAGGCGCACCGGCGATGGCAGACGGCCACGCGGGGAGGAAGACCGGTTCAAGCTGCCCTTCGCTATCGGCAGTTGAATAAAAACGAGCCGCCAGCCGGGGCTGGTTAGAAATACCAGGCCGGTGTGTCCCGCTCAAGGCAGAAACCGCTTGTCAGGCGGTATAAACGAGCGCCAGCCGGGCGCGCGTAGAAATACCAGGCG